ACGAAGCCTGCCCACTGTGGGAGGGAGGGTATTGGGAAATGGCTTCTATCCCTGCACTACAGATGATAACAGAAATAGCTAGGGAGACCACAGGAGGGGCATGCTGTACAGCCAGGTCTCTGCTTAGGAAACTTTCAGAAGGTTGAGTTAAGCCTTGAAAAATCTAGAAGGCCTTAACCAGGTAAAAGAGTGGAACAGGAGCATTCCACTAAAAGCCAGGGACATGAAATAGTGGGTCATATGCGGGCATGACATGCGGTCTGGTTGTTAACTTTCTTGAGCAGGGGGACAAGGGGAGCTGGCTGGTAAGGGTGTGTAGACTGCCCGTGCTTGGCAGGGGTGCAGGCAACAAGGGCCCCCTGAGAGATTTGTGGCAGCAAAGGTGGGTGTCGGATACTCATTCCTGGCCAGAGCCGGAGCAGGGGGTGGAATTTGGAGAAAAGAACAGAGAGAAAGCCTCATGCTAGTAAGACACTGACTCAATTTCATGGTCAATATCTTTTTTTTTTTTTTTTTTTTTGAGACGGAGTTTTGCTCTGTCACCCAGGCTGGAGTGTAGTGGCACGATCTTGGTTCGCTGCAAACTGCCTCCTGGGTTCAAACAATTCTCCTGCCTCAGCCCCATGAGTAGCTGGGATTACAGGCACCTGCCACCATGTCCAGCTAATTTTTGTATTTTTAGTAGAGATGGGGTTTTGCCATGTTGGCCATGCTGGTCTCGAACTCCTGACCTCAGGTGGTCCACCCACCTCAGCCTCTCAAAGTGCTGGGATTACAGGTGTGAGCCACCGCACCCAGCCATCATTTTTTTTTTTTTGAAACAGAGTCTTGCTCTGTTGCCCAGATGAGTGCAGTGGTGCAATTTTGGCTCACTGCAAGTTCTGCTTCCCAGGTTCATGCAATTCTCCTGCCTCAGCCTCCCAAGTAGCTGGGATTACAGGTGCACACCACCACACTTGGTTAATTTTTTTTTTTTTGTATTTTTAGTAAAGACAGGGATTCACCATGTTGGCCAGGCTGGTCTCGAACTCCTGACCTCAAGTGATCTGCCTGCCTTGGCCTCCCAAAGTGCTGGGATTACAGGTGTGAGCCACTGTGTCTGGCCTGTCATATCATTTTTTAAAAAAGAAAAAATAGCCATGGCCTATTAACAAATATACCCAAGTTATTGTGACTTTGAGGCCTCACCAATTGAGTGTGGCAATAAGACTCAGAGGGTCCTGCCAGGAGCACTGTCTATGATGTCCAGGATAAGGAGGAATGGCTCCCGGCAGGAAGTGTCCTTCCGGTTCTGAAGTCTAATTAGCAGGCTGAAAATAGCAAATTTATGAGAAGACATGGTCTTTAGGCTCCAAATTCTAAAATTTTAAGTAATTTTTGACTGCTAGCGGAAATCAATATTACAATTTCTAAAGGAGCAATTTCAGCTGGAACGTTCCTCAAAACAAACATATGTTTCTGAAAAACAGAAGGCAAAAAATAATCCAGAAAGAAAAAAATCCCAATGACTGTGCCAACAAATCTCTGTAAACACTAATTTTAGGTTTTAAAGGCCTACCAGTAATTTAACAAAGTCTGAGCGCCCCCTGATGGTTAATCAGGGGTCCTACAGAAGATGCCACTTTTAGCTACCTGAGGTCAACTTGTTAACTTTTCTCTTCAAATAATCAAGCAAGTCATTGTTCTTATTTGCTTTGTGCAGAAAAAACAAAGTATGTAGGCTTGTGATAAGAAACGTGACATGTTTAGGAAGCTGCCAATTCAGTGGAATTTAAGAACGGAGATGTGCCAAACCCAAGACAGAGAAGAGTGCTTTTATATAAGAACCTAAAGGACTTCCAGGAAAAACTCATTTTTATTTCACTGGACTATTGGTTCCTTATAATCTTTATGTTATCCTGGGGAAAACGGCACAGTGACCAGGCAAAGACAGAAAATGCCACCGCCCCCACCAGAGCATCAGCTGCAGGCTGGCGCCCTCCACTGGCCGCTCTGGTGGCTGCAAGGTTGGCACAGAATGCCACCCATGGTGGCCCTGCCAGGGAACAGTGGCTGGGTGACTTCTGCTACCTTTCCCCCAGGCAATTATGCTGCAAGCACACACCCTTTCCTTTTGGTAAAACATTATCTGGTCCAACCAGTAAGCTGAAGTTACAAGGCAGGAACCAGCAAGCTAAGGGCAGGCTGTTAAAATATACTCTCCATTGAACAAATGGATCCGGGAGAGTGAAAACCGCTTGCTGGGGAAGGTAAAGCGAGACAATGTTTGCAGAGGAGAGGAAGCTCTGGCATGCACCCCTGAACAAAAGGGAACAAGTGGTCTTTACTTGGAGAACGGCTTCCTATTAGGACTCACTCCTTCGTACATTATGCCTTTCATCCCCACTCAACCACAAAATGATTTTGCTGAAGCAAATACAATGGTAGAAAAAGATTTACACTGAAAGAATCTTTAATAATAAACTGTTGCCAATCTGCCTACTTGCCCGTGATTTATAATACAATAAACATCGGATTCTATTACGGCTCATGCACTGAAGCTGCTGCTCTGAAAAAACGGCATATGAAAGCACCCGAACCCCACCATCATCACAATGAAATGAGCATGTATAAATGTGCTAAGAGTATCTCTTTGCATCTTTTATAGCTTGTGTGTATTAATCTGTAACGCTTATTAAGAAAGTCATTGCTATGCAAAGCAGCACCCAATCCCTTTCTCTGGCTTTTCAACAGGAGTGCACTGTTTAGCCAATAGGACGGACCCTCTGGCCCTCATTCTGCATTCATCACAGGCAACATTTGCACAATGTATCTCTCAAAGGCGGCTGAAAAGAAGGCCTTAATACTCATGTAAACAACTGCAAACCAATTACTTAATGAATCAGGCCCACACATAATGAGGTGCAGACAAAGAGCTATAAATGCATTTTTGCGCCCAAGCCGCTGCTTTAAAGTAAAATCCCTCAGCTGTAGTTTGGGCTTAACTAGCACATCATAATTATTGTCTCTAGGACATCAGAGGAAGCCATTTTTTTTTTTTTTTAGGTCCAGCGGGTTTTTTTTTTTTTTTCTGAGGTTGCTCATCAGCTCACTGACAAAATAGAGCAAAGAAGAATTTTAAAAGTGCTACAGCAGCACTGCACTGTTATGTTTATTCTCAAGTACCGGGTTTCGAGACCACTTGTAAAAGCAATAAAGCACAAGGAGTGACTGCAGTAAGTGGGATCCTTAAATGTAAGCCTCTAAGAAATTTCAGTGAATCCAGCACAAACAGCAAAACTGGAGCTCTCCAAAGCCCAGGGTGGCGTATTAACAACACCAAACCCAGCACAAGAACCAAAATGTGACAAACAGCACGCCAAACCTACGCACTCCGGGCCCAGACCTTTTCATCACTGGATTATTATCAAGTGCCTAGAACCAAGAGTTCCTTGAAGGCCTTTTTGAGTGTGTGTCTTTTTTTTTTTTTTTTTTTGCTTGTTTTCTTAAAGCGGATGATGAAATTACTTGTAATTTATTAGGAAATTCATTTCATACAGAAATACTAATAACAAAAGGCCTCTGCCTCAATTTGAAGGAGGAAAAAAGTTTGATTTTAGTTTAGTGAAATATAGACAAGATGTGAAATTATTAGGCTGAGAAATTTTCTACAAAATCCAATTGCTTTCTCAATGTCTTTAAACATTTCCCAAAGAACCTATGTAAAGACTGTTTAGGAAGAACTGGGTTTTTTAGTGCCTCTATATATTATTAAGCCAAATGGTAACATTCGGCCCTGAAAACTATCTGTAGAATTTACTGTCTTTTAAAATTTCTTTTAGGAGACCTAGAACTTGAATTTATAATATAATCGTAATAACATAATACTTTTAACACTCTTCCTGTCCCATTTACCTCCCATTTCCTTCAAAAATATGGATGAAAACTCAGGCATTAAAAATAATAACTTCTGATAATTAAATGAGTTATCTCCCTAAAACTGAACTTGTCAAGTTTCTAAAACCCGTAATTTTAGAAATTCAGTCTAATTTTAATATATACTCCAGGTTCTAAAAACACTGTATTGTTTTATAAAATATGAATAAAAATAGGATTTTTTTGTTTAAAAAGTTCAACATTCCTGGCTCAAATCATTTTCTCTTATGGAACATTGTATGTTATACTAGAAATGTAAAGTTTCTGTTCTAAAATTTCATCACAAACAAGCAGTTAATTCAAATGTAATATAATCATCTGAAGGACATCTTTTTACTGAGCAATGCTGTTCCAAAAGGAAAGTTGTTATGCCATTTTAAACAATATTTAGCTCAAAGCAAAAGAGCAAGGTATTTCATCAGATGATGGCTGATATTCCCATCTATAAATTCGAAGTGACCTGAAGCTACTGTGATTAGTATTTTATGTTAATGACAAATTCGGCACACAACTCTCTTAGCACTGCTCAAAAAACTTACAAGAAGTGAGTGCTACAGTTTGACAAATGTGAAGAGATAAATTTTGTTCTTTATGGAAAATAAGCAAGAAAGTATTAAAAAGGAAAGATAATCTAGCCTAAATACTTGGTTAAAAAAAAAGAGAAAAATAAAAATGAATATCCAGCAATTACTAGTTTATACATTAGCCATCACAAAAAGAAGAAACATGCCACTTTATTTCTTTTAAGGCCTGATGTTTTCTCTCTGCCCTTTTTTCTGACAACCTCCATTGTGTGGTCTCTAAGCAGTCCTACTGCGAGCAGCTGTAGATGCTAATTTGTGGTTCACTGAGGTGTCAATTGAGTCTTAAACCAAGGAAACAACAGCTGCAAAACAATACTTGGCTCTGGTGCAAATATTTTCAAAGGTAGACTAAAGTTTCAACTGTTATTTTAGATAAACAAAAACCCAAACCATAACCCTCCAAGTCACACAACAAAATAATATGCAGCTAGAGTTTAATTCATTGCATTGTGACATTTCTCATCTTGCTGCTGCTATTCAGAAAGGCTTTCACAACTTTACCTTGACAAAGGACTTCCTTCACTAGATGAAAAACCAGCTTCCCACGCAATTTTGTTAGCTGTCTTTGTCTCGAATGCACCGCTGCCAATATTCAAACCTGTGATAAGCGTAAACATGGAGAGTGAGGGTTAGCTGTCATGCAGCCACGGGACAAAATGAATAAAGTGGCCTCACAGTAAGTTTGGTGAAACAAACGCCAGCAGAGGAAGAATCTGTTCAAGGCACAGAAGGCAAGGGAGCTTCTGAGGCAGAGAATGAAATGCTGGTAGAACACTGAAAGGGAGTGGGGCGCTTTCCTGTGATACCGAAACAGTAGCCACAAAAAGTGAAAACTGAAATCATCCAAAGAGTTCAATTTTAAATGACCAAGATGCACATGTAGGCATATGGATCTCTACTGTGTCACAAAGCACTGGATAATTCCCATTGTTATAACACACGGGCAGCAAACCAGGGCTCAGAAATTATTGAGACCCGTGGATAACAGTTACCCACCTTATCCACTCTTAAGCCCCTCTGTAAAATCCTCTATTTTCCATCCCATAGAGGAGAAAGAATCTCCACTGAAAATCATCAAGGCCACTCTTTACCAGCCTCTAAAGGTTGAGGAGGAGGATGCACACTCCACCTCTTTCTCTGGAGCCAGAGACTTGGATATTCCCACAATGCCCCCAGTTTGCAGGGCAACCCCTGACCTTTGCCTTCTGGGAGTTCTCAGCCTTGGATGTTTCTGCTACAGGTCTGCTTCTTAATTGGCAGTCACAATCAGAGACACAGCATCCATGGGCATCTCTGCAAAAAGCATTTGCTGAGTTTCTAACCTGGAACCTGCCTGCTTGCATGTACACTCTGCAGCAAAGTGATTATTTTAAAAATGTGTCCACATTCAGCCCAAAGAGGGTGTCCACATGCTTACCAGGAGGAGGTCTTTTCAGACATGAAAACTAAGGCTCAAGGTTTATTTAAGAAGCTTTCCTCAGGACAGGTCCAAAGACTCAGAAGTAAGTGAAACATGCACTGCTTCTTCATTAGATTTGGGGTGGGCTCCTTGAGCGCAGAGTGCACCACCACCTCCCATCCCTGCTACTTCTAACAACACTGTGAAGCTGCCCTACACCCTACAGTCCACTTTCTGTTTTTCTCTGGGACTCAGATAAGTCCTTAGGATCAGAATGAGAGTAAGGGTAAAAGATAACACACAGCCAAAGGATCTGAGTACAATGTCAGTGACAGCAAACACAGGCAGGAGCACTTTGAGTATGGGGCAAGGGAAATGAATTTAGGGGTGCCTGACTATATAATCTAGAGTGTCATTTCATTTATGAATAAATTAATAAAAATGCATTAAGTACTAGGTTATTAATAGTACCATAATCCATAATTTCAGATACACATCCAACGGATTACAACTTATATGTCTAATTTACTCACCTTTTTTTTGTTTGTTTTTTGAGACAGGGTCTGGCTCTGTCACCCAGGCTGGAGTGCAGTAGTGTGACCTTAGCTCACTGCAACCTCTGCCTCCTGGGTTCAGGCCATTCTCCTACCTCAGCCTCCTGAGTAGCTGAAGCACCTGTCACCATGTCTAGCTAATTTTTGTATTTTTAGTAGAGACAGGGTTTCATCATATTGGCCAGGCTGGTCTTAAAACTCCTCACCTCAGGTGATCCGCCTGCCTTGGCCTCCCAAAGTGCTGGGATTACAGGTGTGAGCCACAGTGCCCAGCCAAATTTACTTATCTTTTGCACTTGTCCAATTAACTACTGAAAATAACACTTACCAGAAACAGGTATGTGGAGTCACTTTCCAAAGTATGTGTGTCATTTATCCAGCTGAAAGGCTCTGAGCAAGGTGTTACTCTCCTGGGGACTCATTTGTAAAATAGGAGTGTTGAATACATTCTAATATCCCTCTGGATTCAAATTCCATGACTCAAATGTGAAGAAGGTCATGGAAAGCAAACAGTTAAGAGTTTGCAAGTGATGACAATCTCCATCAGGACAGAGGCCCTGTTTTATAACTCAATAAACTACAATGTCTTATGTTCAAATCACCCCTACCACCACAATGGCTGGCTCTCCTAGGGGGCTTTTCACTGTCAGGCACTGTGCTGGGCACTTAACATGCAGTGGCTCACCAAATCCTCAAAACCACCAAAATAACTGAATTTTGTCGCAACTGACTTTAACCACTAATATTATCTAGGAAATAGCTCTCCAAATACAGCTAAGTCTGATGGACCGTAAGTATGTCCCTCGAAAATATCTGTCTGAAAAAGACATTTTTTGTTTTATTTTTTAGATAGGGTCTTGCTCTGTTGCCCAGTGCAGTGGTGTGATCATAGCTTGCTGCAGCCTCAAACTTCTGGGCTCAAGTGATCCTCTTGCCTTATTAGCCTCTTAAGTAGCTAGTAGTATAGGAACATGCTAAAACGTGTGGTTAATTTTTAAATTTTTTGTAAAAACAGTGTCTTGCTATATTGCCCAGGCTGGTCTTGGGACTCCTGGCCTCAAGCACCTCTCTCACCATGGCCTCCCAAAATGCTGGGATTACAGGCATGAGCCACTGTGCCTGGCTGAAGAAGACATCCTTGAGACAACCAGGAAATCTGAATATGGACTGGGAATTACATGCTATTTAGAAATCACTGTTCATTCTGCTAGGTGAAATTATGGCATGGTGGCTAAGAAAGTCAATGTGGATTTCCTTCTGTATTAATCCATTTACTCTCACAAAGGAAATTGAGGTAACTTATGCTTTAAAATCTGGTGTAATGAAAGGAAAACCACTGAAAATAATAGATGTACAATAACAAAGTACAAAAAAACAAAATTACAATTAAAACAAAATCCTAGATTGAAGGAACTATAACTAAGCTTAAAATTTAGCTTTCCTGACTGCGCAGGGTGGCTCACACTTGTAACCCCAACTCTTCAAGAGACCAAGGCAGGTGGATAGCTTGAGTCCAGGAGTTTGAGACCAGCCTGAGCAACATGGCAAAACCCTCTACAAAAAAACACAAAAATTAGCTGAGGGTGGTGGTGTGCACCTGTAGTCTCAGCTACTTGGGAGGCTGAGGTGGGAAGATTGCTTGAGACTGGTAGGTTGAGGCTTCAGTAAGCCATCATGCCACTGTACTCCAGTCTGGGAGACAGAGCAAGACCCTGCCTCAAAAATAATAAATAAATAAATAAACAAACAAACAAATAAATACAATTTAGCATTCCTGGGATTTATAATCCTTTCAGTAAAATAACTAAAAATCCCCCAACATTCTGGTGAGGGAAAGCAGCCCAGTACAACACTGCCCATTGAATGACAAAGACACTAGTAGTCGTGGGGAAGAGAAGGAATTTGGGTGTGTCTTCCCAGGGTCACTGATGACAAGTCACTATCATGACATGCTTGGCAGAATCCAGGGCCTGGGAGGGCCACTGCCATGCTGGCCAGCACATGTCTAGGACACAACAAAAGGGCTTTTCCACATGTCCGTTTGCCAAGGATAAAAAAAGTACTAGCTCATTCTGTCCTGGTGACAGCTCGTTACAGAGCAAACTCCAGAAACCTACAAAAAGAATAACCACCCTTCCCTGAACACAGCCCTGCCCACCACTTTGGGCCCCTGGACACTGCCATCTGCTCTTACTTACCTGACAAGTGTGACACAGAAGCATCTGCCTTTTGAAACCTGTTTTCAGTTTGATTTGTATTACCCTGAAGGATAGCCTTCTTCAGCAACTGGTAGGCTTCTGTTTCTATTGATTAAAGAAAAACACAGAAATACCACATTTTTTACTGCCCAGAAAGCAGCTTTTAAAAATCTTCCTATGAGATGAACACTTCTCAAATGAATGCAAATTATTATTTTTTGAACTGTCACGTTTTAGACATTCTAAAAATAAAAACAATTTAGTTGAAACCAGGTTTCAAGACTCAAAGACAAGTTGTATGAGTTTATTTGAGGCAGCCAAATTCTAGTCTGTGGGTCTGTGGAAAGGTTCACTATCACACTAAAACAGTTTCACTTCCCTCTGGGCCTTGTAGAGGAATGAACCAGAATGAACTAGAAAAGAAAGCAAGCCTTCCTAGGTTGCCAGGTCACTCAGAAACTCTCTTTGCTCTGGCTCTTGGGCTCTCACACTCAAGTGCAGGGGCTCTGGGACAGGGCTGGGGGAATGGGGAGAGGGTCAGGAAGGGTGGTGACAGCTGGATGAGTTCAGAGTCCCACAGCTGAGGAAATCTAACCAAGTCTTGCCATGGGGAAGGAGCGAGAACAGGTTTGCAGAGAGCAAAGCCAGGCATCCACAGGGATCAGCGGCAGCCTGCACATGCTCATGTTCATAGGATGCTCTTGGCCATGCAGTGCTTCTAATGGCATCTGCTATAAGTGAAATTGGGGAAGACTGTTGGGAAAAACAGTAAACAAAAATACATAAAGAACCTGAGTGACACAACCTTCCCCATTACTCTAAATTTCAAGAGCACCCAGATGAAATGCAGGATGAAGAATCAGAGTTTCAGCACAAACATAACAAAACAGCATCCATGTCTACATCTTCAACGTAACACAAAAGGAGTCCCATTGTCAATGCCAGGGGCTGGCAACAGGTTGGATTCCTGCTTTTGCTGGCTTCATTTAAGGATTTAACCACGAGACTCTATTACTGGATTAAAACTACCATCACACTGAAGAATAAAAATACAACTTACCTTGCCCTACTGAAAATCAGTCATGATAAAAATGAGTACTTAAAATGAACATTATACTTTGGAATATTAAATACTATATAATTAAAATACATACAGATCAGGGATTCTTCGCTCTGAAGATAATAAATTCTAAGGCAACACTTTTTTAACATTGCTGGATTGTGAAATCAGTTTAGGTCATTGAAACTAGTATTTTGAAAAATCTAATAAAGAAAACGTCAGAAACAGTGCATACAGAGGGGAAAGTGCTGTTTTGTGTAATGTGTGTGTGTGTGGGGCGGGTGGGGGGCTGGGGTGAAAGTGTTTCTTGGTGAGGCTGGTCGCACTGTCCTAGGATGGCTCCAATGGGATGGTGTCGTGATGCCCTTCGGCTAATCCTAATATCCGTGTTACTTCGAATACACTGTAAGGTAACTGTGAAAGAGGGACAATATTAATAAAATCAAAGACAGAGTGTCTGAATTTCTAAAGGTAAGAAATCAGTGTAAAAGAGGTAAAAACGCCCTGTTTTGTTTTTATTTTATAAAAATCAACCAAAAAGTTTTTCAGTTCTCAGGATACAACTCCAGATCTTAATGACCACATGTTATTTCTACATTCAATTAAACTTATTTCGTCAAGGAAAAGATAGCAAAGATGGGAACTTAAAAAAAAAGGAGCAGCTTCTTGATAAACAAAGCCTCCTGGCCACTGGAAGCTGGAGCTGCGCACTGCAAACTCATTTCTCCATTGTCGGAAGGCAAATCACTTGACTCCAGTGAGACGGCGCTCCTGCTTCTCAGAAACCAGGAAAACGTGTCACTGGCAATCAGAAGGGGATTTCTGTGAGAAGTATCAAGCTAGTAGTCCTGAGGTAATTTCAGATTTGGGGGGGATTAAGCATTCTGCCCAAACAGAAGAAGGGCTGATAGTATTACTGGTTTGAGGTTAGCAAGGGAGGAAACTGCCAATGTGAAGTGAAATCACTTCTAGCAACAAGGCACCATTCTGATACTCTGGAAAAGACGAGCCCTTTCTATGCTCCACACTTTCCATCTGGTCCCCCTCCCTTCTTTCCTGAAGAGTGCGAGCTCAGGAGCTTTTGGCTAACCACCCATCCTGAGATGGCTCACTCTCCTGCCCCATTCAACCAGAGCCCACCACTTCCCAATCACCTCACTGGTGTTTCATCCTTAAGCCTCTGTGGCCCTTCTCCAAGCAGAGTCACCGAAGCCCACCTGGGCAGTTTTTATTTGGGATGCAGCTGCCCTGACCTGAGTCATAAAGGACTGGCAAGATCAGGCTGAGGACTGCTGGGCACATCTCTCACCCCCAATCCCAGTGCGCACTCTCTCCAATGGTTTAAAGGCAAAGTGAAGTTTAAAAGGTACAAAGATGAAGTGCATTCACCTAGAGGAATGACACTCACTGAGGCAGGACCACAGATGTCAAAGCAGGAGAGGGCAGAGAGCCTAGCACTGTTGCCGCCCAACCGAGGATCAGATGCACCAGAGCTGGAGTCGCTCTCCCTATGCATCACCCCCCTATTTAGTCAGAATTGTTGCACAAAACTATTTATGAAAGTCTGAGAGATGATCTACATAGGAAAAACAAAATTAATAAGGGTTGGTTAAAACAAATTAGAAGTGGTTAAAGGATACATAGTCTGCATAGAACAAGGTTGGAGAAGGGAAGGAAAGTTCAGGTACTGCAAACAGACAGGACAGGGTGGGCATTGCGGATGCAGATGCCTCTGGGGCCAAGCAAGTACCTCCAAGAAGTGACTATGGCCAGGCAGGGGCAGCAGGAAGCGCCTGCCCTGTAGCAGGCAAGGAGGCACATGACTTGTCCATAGAGCACAGCTGCTCCTTGGCTCCAGCCAATTGCTGCCTGGTGGGAAGGTGGGCCTGGTCTTACCAGACTTCTGCCTTTTCTTTCTTCTTTTTAAAAATAAAACACTGCACAGACAAAACAGAACATATTTGTAGCCTCGAAACTAGATGGTAGTGAGCAACTTTTTGTGTTCACTGAAAGTGGTACAAGAACACTTAGGGAAAAACTGCAGCCAAATAATACAAGCTAGATATCAGGAAAAGCTTTCTTGTTGAAAAGGTTGTTGGAACATGTTATCCAGGGAGGATGCATCAGCTGTATGAAGATTTTTAAGGGGCTGTCTGTATCAAACAGACCAGGTTTCAGACTCTGGAGGCAAGAGTGTATTTTTTTTTTAGGAGTTCTCAAACAGATCAGACATCCTCCTGAAACAGCCCAGAAGACTTGGCCGGGACGCTAGTTTCATGAAGCAAGAGTGTAAAGCTATGGACGTGAGGTTTGTGGTAATTCAGGCCCAGGATTTTTTAGAAGAAACACAGTGATGAACCAAGCAGTTAAAAGCTCCACTTTGTTGCTGCTCTGCAAATTTATAGTTATTAAATGAATGAACAAAAAAAGGAGCAAAAGTAACAAATCAAGAAGTTCAAGTTAGTCTGTTACAAACAAGGTAGGGACAAAGTCAATATATTTCCAAGGGAAAAAGATTTTCGTTTTCTCAGCTGCAAGTAAACTGTAAGTCTAAAAATTTGAGGATTGGGTGTTTGCTTTAATGGTTTCACTTTCTAGCCTGACTTAGAAATCCAGGGAAACACTTCCTCCCATTAGTAAAGGTAAACTCTCAGAAAATACTGAGTAGTGAAAATGTTTAGATTAAACAAACATTTCTAAAGAATACAATCATTTTCAGATGGAATGTTCTGATACACACGGAAACAAACACACACGCATGCTCTGTTCTGAATCTTTGTTCTGAATCATGTTCAAGCATTGATTATATATTCAAATCTGTGTCAAGACTTAGTTTAAAAAGTAGAAAATATTGTAGTTCAAAATGTAAGGCAAGGCAAGGAGGGGCATCCCATGCAGTCTACAGCTCCAGAAGGTGAAAATCTATCCTTGTCTATTAACTCTTGACTGATGACATGAGATAAATGTATTTTCCCTTACTTTGTTACATAAGCTGCCTGAACCCAATCATCTATCTTTCTGCAAAGTGCTGAAGGATCGCTGAGACTGTTTTTTTTTTTTCTTTTTGATATGCGTCTTGTGTCTGGAAAATAGAAACAGCTACAGAAAGAAAGTGAAAACATGCTGAATAAAGAGGTGGGAGAGAGATGATGCTGAGGAGAGGAGAAAGAAAAAGCCTCAACTTCTTATCTGTTTTCCTCTTTTATATGCAAATGTACACCTGCTAAAATACTTCTAAATCTACAAATAAAAATAAAATATCTGATGAACAAGTGCTTTTAACACCCCATTACAAGAGCCAGACAAACACATGGTTCACCAGTCTCTAAGGGGTGTGTTGGAGGCAGGGAATCTGCCCATTGCTTTTGCAGAAATCCTTAATGAAAAAAAGAGTTGGGCTCGGAAAAAAAATAACAAAGGGAGATGCAAACAATACTATCACTACGGCTAAAAAACCGACCTTGAACTGACAGAGAACTGGGCATGTTTGAGTAAGGAAGGATAATTGCTATTTCTATATGAAGTTAAAACGAAATCTGAAAAATATTCTCTGTCCACTGAGTTTCTCAGCATTGTTACTTTTCACACATTTCTACACCCACATGTTTTTTCAAATTGTACTAGGTGTGTTGCTGACACTGCAAACTCGGTCATTTTTGCAAAATAAAATAAAAATTGTGAGATATGTTTCTTAAGTTACTTCAAAAGATAAATACTATCACTGAGAATCCAGAAATCATTTGCCTAGTAATCTGCTTAAATAAAAATAAGGGCCGGGCGGGGTGGCTCACGCCTGTAATCCCAGCACTTAGGGAGGCTGAGGCAGGTGGATCACTTGAGGTTGGGAGTTTGAGACCAGCCTGACCAAAATGGAGAAACTGTATCTACACCACTGCATGTTGGCACATGTCTGTAGTCCCAAGTACATGGTGGCACATGTACTTGGGAGGCTGAGGCAGGAGAAAAGCTTGAACCCGGGAGGCGGAGGTTGTGGTGAGCCAAGATCGTGCCATTGCACTCTAGCCTGGGCAACAAGAATGCAACT